GTCATATTTCATACTATTACTGATTTTGGTTAAATTTTGTGTTTTAATTGTTCATGCATAACTCATTACCCCTGGATGAGTGTGCATGTCATATTTCATACTATTACTGATTTTGGTTAAATTTTGTGTTTTAATTGTTCATGCATAACTCATTACCCCTGGATGAGTGTGCATGTCAGTTAGTACCATACAACCAAAGATGTAATTGTGCCCTACACTTCTTTTTATACTGGCTTCAGTTATGTTCTTACATGTAGCTCATGACCAAATATTAATTTTTTCATGCTATGTACATAATATTTCATGTTTCTTGATGATTATCATTCTCTTATTTAAGTAGTAGATTTTTATGGCCTGTATTTTACACTTCACTGACTTGTCTTAAATTTTGTCGGATATTCATTTCCCAGATGGATGATACATCAGTGGACCCAAAATACATGAAACTCTGACAAGATGGGACAGTATCATTCGAGATGGCCCTGCATTCATTACCATAAATAGGCCCATTTTGATGTGAAATCAGACATTTTTAATGAAATTTCTGTCGACTCAGGACACATCATCTGAATGTCATTTACAGGACCAAGTGGTAGCTCCGTTGTGGTAGCCAAATTTAAGGGAGGTAAGGAAGATTATGCATCATACTTTGAGGGAAAGGACGACATATTAGCACAGACACTTTTGGCCTTGGTTATTCATTCTGCAGATCAGAAAATAGCCCAGACCAAATGAATTTGTTTTGCATATCGACTCACGAAATTAGTGCAGTCACTGCAAACATTGCATTTCAGTGAAACTGTTCTCTGTAATGACCCATGATGTGGGATGGAGATTCAAGTCCACTTCTCCATTTTTATCACAGAGATCTTTCATCCTGGTGGGACCTAAAGCCATGGCCCAACAGGTTATTTTCCAGGGTCATTAGAAAGCTTCGTAAAAATGCAACTTTTTGATTTGTGGGAGGGAAACATTTTTCCTTTCAAAGTCATTCCCTGACATATGGAGTCTGTTCTCCAGTCAGGTTATCTAGAAGCTGGCTTAATTATATTAGTGACCAGAGATTGTCAGAGTTATATGGGATGTATCTCTCTTCACTTCTTACCTATTTTCCTTATGTATTATGATCAGGTGACGTTTGAACAAGAAACCAATTTGTTTCTATTGAAATAAGTTCATCAATAATATTTACTTTACATGTACACCCTCACAGTCTCGCCACTGAAGTATTTGCAAAATTTGAAGCAATCACTTTGTCCCTGCCACCTTGAGGGGCACATAGTTTTTTAGCTTTTCAGCTAAAATGTTTTATTTAACCTGCGAGGGTTGAATTTGCGATGTAATAGTAGTTTACCTAAGGTATTGTGATCGGGTATTATTGATAGAAAAATATATTTTACTAAAGGAAATTGTTGTTTTTTTTGGATTACTCAGTGTTTTGTCTACATTAATAATTCCTTGTATAGAGTTCCTGGAAGTCCCAATCATGATTTGTTCAACATAGCCTCACAAAATACACTGAGACAATGCTTGGAGTAGAAACCCATTAGCAAATTTATCATTCAAGTGAGAATGTAAATGCTTTATCTCACTGTACATGCTTTATTGCATTGATTGAAAGTAAATCATATGCATGTGTTTTGGCATTAAGTAGAATCTTTCATAATGTTTGGCAGAATGCTGCATGGTTTGTACTGTCCACTGGTTTACCGTGTGCCGTCTTGGCTTGTTTGAGTGCGTAAATTACATATTGGTATTTACCTGGAGAATTAGTGGTCATGACTTTATCCTTGGCCTTTATTTTCAGTCTGACAGAACAAATTTTTTTTGCATACTTTGCTCAAGACTACGACCGCATCCATCTCCAAAGGTTTGTATCTTAATACAATTTAAAGAGTTTGTATTATTGTACATTGTGATATTACAGGATAGTATTTCCATCTGATCATCCCTGTTTTGTCTCCCCTCACCAGAAACTTTTGTTCCAGAATTGTTTGCCAATGGAAAATGGGTCTGATTTAATAACCCACCCATTTCCTTTTCTGCCAAACAAAGAGTGCCATCAAACCATCGTTTCACTCAGAACAAAATTACTCAAGAACTATTTCCCTCTAATAAAGTGATTTTCATTTAGGAAAAGTATGATGAAGTTTATTTCCCCTGTTGCTTAGGAGCATCTGTCTCCTATATCACTGATTTAAAATATTTTTGGACAAGTTTTATACGCAATCCATTTAGGGTAAAGCACATGTACATGCTTATCTCAAAATTATATTCCATGCTAATTTTTAAAAGAACTTTTTGGTTATTATCATTAGAAGGTTTCTTGGGGAAGGGGACAGGGTACTATAGAAACGTTAAGAAGTTAAACTTTAAGGAAGCTCTTACATTGTTTTTTCGTTATGTTTGCAGCATTATATTAGCTTTTATCCATCCCTAGATGCCTGCATAAGTAAAATGAACGAATGTTATCCATTATTACTGAATGTGTATTGTATTTTAGACTCATGCTCATGTACAGCTGCTGTTGTTTTTGGTTTATTGAATATGAGACATTCTAGTAGGCCACTGACATTTGTGATTACTAAATTAATGCAGGACAATTTGTAATGGCTTCTGGGCTATCTGACCGGTTGAACAAATAGAGAACCAGTAGGACACCTGTGTATGTTTCATTCTACAATATGTACATTTAGTTTCAGAGTCTTTACTCTTACGCATCACGTGCTTATCGGTAACAAGGCAAAATTTGTAGTGAATATAAAAGAAATGTTGTTAAAAATTATCATGTAATGGAGCTTAGATTCACTTTTTTTTACATTTAAAACTTATGATGAAGAGCAGCGACATACTAACGGTAAATGGTGCCTGGGGGCGACTATGAGGGCCCAAATGGGATTTTGGTGCCCCAAGCGCCCTGTGGTTTGGGCGTCTCAAGACATATGGAGCCCGGGATAACCGCCCCTTCCGTCTTCTGAAACCTGTTCGCTACTGATGATGAGATCAGGTGCCATAACATGCTTTCTTTTTTGACATGTTAAATATGTACATTTTGCTAAATTAAACTTTTCTTATATTAGTCTGAGCCTACTAACCCGTTGGTTTGTACCCTTCTGCCGATTTCAGTGACGGAAACCTTTAATTTGATAAAAAGTGCAAAGAACTTAGATCTATATTTTCTAACCAGGCTGTGAGTAGAATGGCCTTAACACCGTCATTGTCTGCGCGTTTCATGCTTAACGGAAGTTTTCCATATTATAGACGGACATGCCTAAGACCAATTTCCAGTTCCTGGACAAGTCCATTTTCAGCAATGGAGTGTATGCGCGAATAAAGATGTACATACATAGTGTCGAATAAAGCAAAGAAAAAGAATGGAAAAAAAAATTGCTTTTCACATGAATTTAACAAGTGTTTTCATTAATATGTTCATGTGTACAAAGGAATATAATTCCAAACTCGACGTTATGGTAATTTATTGAATTATCCGGCAGTTACCGAATAGGATGAATTACGTCATTATGTTGTCGGATGCAAATAAACTACCCCATAGTGTACGGAATATGGCGTCGTGTTAGTATGGAAAGTCCGTTAAGCATGAAAGGTGCAAGGGGATACCAGTTTTAGTGCCATTCTTGTCACAGTCAGGTTAGAAATTATAAATCAATGATTCAGTTGACTTAGTTATGTGCACTTTTTATCACGTTAAACGTTTTAGTTATTGAAATCGGTAGGGGTGCACAAACCAACTGGGATGTAGCATCAGACTTTTTTTTAATGCAATTCATCAGCACTACACATCTTTATCATATGAATAGATGAATATCTATCAATGATGGATCCCCACCACATCTTCAAGTTTTCCAGAAATAATACTACAGTAGAAACTAACATTCGTTCTTATCCTAATTCAGATCACACCAGAAACAAGGTTTACAAAAATTCAAATTATGCCAAATCTGCCACATTCTATCTTTGAACTCGCACTATATGCTTTGAAATTTCTCCTCGGTCAGTGCAGTGTCTTCAAAAGCAAAACACCGACTGTGAATAAGTAGACATGTTAACGAATAAAGCGAAACACTGATTTTAAATAAGCTATCTTTTTAACTTATAGACAAAGCTTTCTCCATTTTTCCAGGCGTTTAATCTTCAAGATCAAAATAATTGTGAATAACTGACCAACAGTGTGTGTGTATATATATATATATATATATATATATATATATATATATATATATATATATATATATATATATATATATATATATATATATATATATATATATATATGCTGACTTTTATGTGATAGCATATCTGGGTCTGTGTAATTTTCAGTTAATCCGACTTACAAGCGAGTATCAACGATACATGATACTTATTTTATGGGAATTAATTATCAAATAGTACAAGAAAGTCTACATCCGCACCCACCTACGTCCCAACCACTACCCACCTACCAGCCTCCCAAAAAAGGAAAAACAAATTTAAAAAAAAAAAACGCGGTGTATGTATATATACCTGTGGTGAAACCATGTTAGAACTCTGTGTGAATGTGTGTGTGTGTGTGTGAGAGAGAGAGAGAGAGAGATCAGTACCAGATTTACCACTGTGTTTAGGTGTGCCTAAACACCTACTGGCCAAAACACCTACTGGCCCGGAGGGGGGGGGGAATCATACTGGGGGAAAATTACGATTAATTTTTCATTGTAAAGGGCGTCATAGCTTAACTAGCACATTGTCTCATTTGTCCTAAATCCGGCACTGTATGATGTGGATTTTTAACGTAGCTTGAACAATTTATTCAGTCGTATAGCTTCGATGTTTGCAGTTTAGCGTTTTATAGTGATGTCTAGCACTGTGGCATCATGACACAGACGTGTAATATGATGCCCCACCCAAAAAGATTATCCTAACACCTTTCCGACCAGTCCTAACACTAACCTCTTGATGCTGGGCGACTAGCGAGGCAGCTGTTAGTACCATTTTTAATAAATATTTGCTATAACTCGGCCGGTGTTCGAACCCGCGACCTCCCGTATCTGAGGCGGACGCTCTAACCACTAGGCCACCGGAGCGGTCCAGGTCAGAATTAATTAACTCTAGCTATATAAACACTGAAATATTTACTATCCAATAGTTGATTGGTATATGCCGCACACAGCCAAGGGGTCATTTTGTTGTTCGAACTTGGATTATTCGAGTTTTGGAGATCGTATTCGAGACTGGATTTTCTTGTACTATTTGATTATATGACAATATAAACACACCAAAAAATCAGGAAACAAGAACGGAATTCTTCTGTTTATGTGTTCGCGCTCGCGCTCGCGCGCGCGTGCATGCGTTTATATGACATTGTTTACTATATTCTTAGTTAAGATTTTGTGAACGATTCTGATTTGATAAAATAAATACGCAGTGATGTGATGTGATTATGATTTTTTAACGTAGCTTTAACAATTTTTCAGTCATATCGCTACGATGTCAGCAGTGTAGCAGCTTATAGAGATGTCTAGCTCTGGGTGCATCATGCCGCAGATATGTAGCATGATGTCCCACCCTGTCACATTATCCTGACACCAAGCCGACAGGTCCTAACACTCTAACCTCTTAATGCTGAGTGCTAAGCGAGGCAGCTGTTAGTACCATTTTTGTAAGTCTTTGGTATGACTCGACCGGGGATTGAACCCACGACCTCCCACATCCGAGGCGGACGCTCTAACCACTAGGTCATAGGAGCGGTTGATATACGCATTAATATGTGATGTATATTTTATGACATACCAGATTCTCTTGCTCTGTGGTAATTACCTTTACGTTCATTTGAGTTTAAAAAACCAAAAGAACTCGTCATGTAAAATAATATAAGGAAAAAAAGCTCACCAACTTAGGGCGAAAAAAAAAACAACTGCTGAGAAACACTAATTGACCGCTTTCACTTCCAAAGATTTACCAAAACTATTTTAAATCGAATTCCTCGGTAAAAAAAAAAAAAGATAGAGTTGTATAAATTGTAAAACTTTATCGAAAATGAAATAAAACAAATATCAGTGCTATCAGTAATTTAAATTTGAAATCTTAGATGTTATATAACACACACACACACACACACACACACACACACACACACACACACACACACACACACACACATAGTATACACAGTATCTATCTGACCAATCGGTTGGACAAAATTCTTTTCCAGTAACTAAATAAAGTCATTATGTATGCCATTAGGTAATCATTGACACGTAGCATGGGAATTCGATTAAGCAAGCGCTTCACTGAACTATCCAATAGTTGATTGATATATGCCGCGCACAGCTGAGGGATCGTTTTGTTCGAACTTGGATTATTCGAGTTTTCGAGGTCGTATTCGAGACTGGATTAAACTGAATTTAGAGAGTCATTCGAGTGATACATAAAGACAGTGACATAACTTGACATCCTCACCCCCATTTTGCAAAAATTAAGAAGGGCTCACCTCCTAAAATGTTTGGATCCCACTGCCAAAAAATAATAATAATTCCGAAATGCCCACAATAAATAAATTGTTAATTTGCAGCACACACAGAGAGAGGTCTATCACGTAAATGTTTCGTTAATGGTCTAATCTTCAGGTCAAACAAGACTTTATTGCATTTATGTCACGGTAAGGAAACAGGAAACCTTTTTCTGAAAGAAAAATTAAGTTGAATATATACATTCCTCAGGAAACAAAAGAAAAGATCATAAATAAGAGGTGTATATTTGACCCGGGTGAAAACCAATTCAAGAGCAAACTTAAACCTGCTGAAAAAAAAATGGTTGTACAACAAAAGTTTGGTTTCCCTTTGTTCTTTCACTAAAGATTGAGTGGCCCCGAGTGGTCTAATGGGTTCGCTTTACAGATTACTCGCACCTCACCTCATCCCCCGTAGGTTCGAATCTCGGCTTTGCCATCTTGAGCATGTGATAAAGTTTACAAATAGCTTCCTTGGGTCGATGATTCTTCCCCGGTTCTTCCTCTATGACCACAAAACCAACACCGCAACCAAAAATGTACTCGCAAAATGTTTGCATCTTTACAAGTATTAATTCAACGACTTCAGCGGTTTTCCCACTGGGAACCATTATTTTCAGACACAGTATTGAACCCTGTGCGCCTGGGTTATCGTCTTGTTTTTCCAGTAGATTTGTACAACTTTTTCCGGTGTTAATGACCATCCTTTGTAATTATAACGACAAAAACGTGCACACAATAAACGGAAATAAGACATTACCGAAGCAAAACAAATCGGCCGCCCAAATAGACTTGCACTGAACCACCTTTTCGAACACTGTGTTCCTAGTATTTCACCTTCGGCTTCTTCAGCACTAGCACTGTTCTTCTTTGTTGGGACGTGAGGGTGTAAAGCCATTTTTCTGCTCCTGATACATGACGGCCAGCTGTTATTAAAGATGTATTTTAGGTGGTATAAGCTTTTTTTTATAAAATAAAATGCATGGGTAGACATTGTATTTGAAACGAGAACTTGACGCAAGTCAAGCACACCGATAACAAAAGGACATAGAATCATATGTTGTTTAAAATACTATTCTTGGTTTTTCTTTCTGTTGAGTAACTAGCTCTATTGATGGATTTTTTTTAAATAGTGATCGATGTATACACGGTTGGTGAAGTTCAAACTTTTTTCAGTTAACGATGTGCATGTTCTTTCAAAAGGTCAAATGATCTAAGACAAATTTCTTCCTCAAATGAGTTTTCAATGCACTTCTGCTTTAATCGTACAAAATGCATATATCCATAGTGTGGCAACTTATTTGAAGTTTGTAATAAATATTCGTACAAAGTATCGATATCGTTACCAAAAAAAAATCAAGGAGCAAAAACGAAAAGATAAACAAGATCATGATGGTGTGGTATGCTCTTATTTTAGTGGAAAATATGTTTACATAGTCTTAATGTTTATTATGCTTTGAATGTGAAGACAGGAGAGATTGCGCAGTGAAGGACTTGTGTAACTGCAAGCTATCTGTACAATTTAATAAATAAAAAAAATACGCTAGGCTGTGCGTCATCTGTAGTAATATACGCATTGGACTAGACCCAGTTTTGCTTCCATATCTATCAAGAGTGTCGTCTACCACTCTATGAAAGCAACCCCCCCAAAAAAAAATAGTTGTATGGCAAGATTAATTTTGATTTTTGGCAACAGATCAAGGGACAATTTTGGATTCCGCTGATACAAGCGAGGCTTTACGATGGCAATCAATACCGGGACCCAGATGATGCAAAATCACCGCACCTCCAACTAGTTGTCAAGATGTGTAAGTAATCTGTTTGATATTATTAAGGAAGCATTATCAATAAAGATCTATTTTCATCACTGGACATTTTTTCCCTCCATTCTCTCAATTACTATACCTCCAAACTGTGGACATTTGTTGACGGAATTTTCGAAGTACTCCGCCCACCTTACTGTTAATTAAAATCCTATCAGAAAGAGAGTTTGAAGAGACGACGTTTAAGATGAGTACATTTTACTTGGATGGTTGATCATAGACTCTTTCATTACCACATGATTACAAGATCGTGTACCAAGGATGCCCATAAAAGCCACTTGACGTGATCACTTACGACAGCTCATAAACAAGAAAGATAAACTGACTCATCGTAAAAACAATCCTCCTGCCTGCGTCCTGCTCTATGCACGATAAGACATTAAACTTGTATTACAATTATAAATTAACTATATCCTATGAGATTTACAACGTAAATTGAAGTATTCCAGATGTCTGGATGCTAAGGGGTATTTGGGTTCTCGTCTTTGCATATTTGAAGTTAAAATCATGAGTATACATTTCAAGCCCATTTCTAACTTTGCGCTGGAAAAGTTAAGTCACGCAGTATCTTGATCAAGTACAGACAGCTTATTTTAGTGCTTATTCAGTATTCTTTTATATAACAAAATAAATGTTTCACATCATAAATTCAAATATTTTAGATCATAAAATATTGTTTAAGAGTAATATGCGAGAAAAAGAAATCGACTCTTTTGTTTCAAATACTGTGCATGGTGTTTCACATATAAAAATTACGATTTTTTATTTGATTTTGTTTTATAACTGAAGTATTTTGAATTTAATATGTAAAAACTAAGAATGTTTAAGTACCATAAATATTAAAATTTTCCAAACCACTGACCGCTCTCTTTCATTACAAACGCCTACTATAACTATTTACTGAGGATCTTTAATTGTGTCTGAAAGTACAGTTGTGTACTGTCTAAAATTCATTTTTATTTCTGAATCCAACATCATTTGTCAAACATATTTTAATATGCGTTAGGACGAATTACCTAATGGGACTACATCAAACTAAGTCAGATAGGACTATGGCTGTATTTAATTACCTGCCAAAATTGGTGTGTGAGAGGATGTGGGTGTGTGCGCGCGCTAAGGTGTTAGTGTATTATGTAAACATGTAATTCTGTCCGTCTAAAATACTTTAGTCAAGTAATTTGCGGTCGAAGTCTACGGCACTCACTTTTATATTTCACGCACATCTCGCATCAGTCCACTTGGGTATAGGAGAAAGCTTTCCCAGTAGCTTCCTGTGACTCGGTGATTCTACCCGGGGTTCTCCATATTAAAAAATATATTGACCGCCGTGTACAGCCGATCATGTGATGAAAGGATCGCGTCAAACTCACATTTAAAAGGTGGGGTGTGTGAGGAGAAACGATCTCGAAATAATCATTCATCCAAGCGTCTTCATTAATATGTCATATGTCAAGAAAACAGAGGTAGGGTGTACATTTTTAAACAAAAATCAACACGTATGAAGTTATGACAATAACAATTAGTCAGTTTGTCTGCATGATCTACATTAAAAGTTTGTACGTCAAGTTTGATTCTAATTTTAGCAAAATCGTTACTTTAATATGTTATGAAAGAAAATGTTCGCTCTGTGGGTGTTGTCTTATATCATAACATTCTTCTCAAGGAAATACTTGCAGCTTTAAGCGATGCCTTGGCTCATGATCAGAGAGAGAGAGAGAGAGAGAGAGAGAGAGAGAGTAGAGTTCGGTACTCT